AATTTAACTTCAACGAAGCTGCTGAAAACGTAAGCCAACTTTATGCCTAAAAGCAGGCAATGTTTTTAGGAAGGTAACTTCATAAAGAAACTTTAAATGGAAAATAAGACAAGATAGTTATTTATATTTATTTCTTTTAAGAATCTTTAACAGGGTATCTAACACTCCAAACCCTTTCCCTATTTCGTTTTGCATTTGCGTCTCTGTTTTCGGCTTGATGACGACAAATGCGAGCGGAATGACGACAACGTGCAGGGCTTATCGCTGCTGCTATGGCAAAGGCATGGTCCTTTCGGTGGGTTAAAGGGGGATATTCCTTGGGCATCCAGCAGAAGGGGGCCAGCTGCGGTAAGTCTTTTGTTTGTGATAAGATTTTTACGTGTCTACAAATTGGCCAGCGGCTGTCATGGCATCTCTCGTTCAATTATTGTTTTTCCCTTGACTTTAAGGTGACCAGCAGAACAGCAGCAAAGGGACACAGTCAAGGGTTGTCCTTGCAAGGAAAGGTAAATCCACTCTTTAATTTTCCCAGCTGTCTGTCTGTCTGTCTCTGTGTCACAGCATTTAATTAAACACATTGGTTGAATGAAGCAGCCTGTGGAATCCTATAGAACTATCATCATCATCATCCACTTGACTGCCCTTCAAAGACGCTCCGATTTCTGCGGACTGGGTGTTCTCCTGCAGTCTGCAGGATTGATGATAAGTACGGATTGGAACTGGATGAGGTCTCCAATTATGAAAGTTCTTTGGTTGAGGTAGGACTCGAAAGGACTCGTTTACCAGAAGAAGACCTTTTAGGGGACTTTATTTTCACTCAGGGAAAAGATTTTTTCACTACAAAAAATTATTTAAAATATTTTACTTTGACTTTAGAAAGTTTGTGATATTCAAAATCAAGAATTTATAAACTAAACCTTAATTTAAAGTGCAATTTAAACTTGTTTAACAATCAATTCCTGTGTTTTTTTTAGCCCTTTAGGGCTTTAACCCTTTAGAAAACCCAACCAGGAAAATCTCTTTTGAAATGTAGCCAATATGCCTGGCAACGATTATGAAGTGCATAGGGCTTATGGGGGGATGGCTCCGGTTCCAGTGGCCTCCACTTATGGCCAGAACAATTTACCTGGTTGCCACTTAAGCTTTGTTTAGCTCGACTCCTGCCAGCCGAAGATTAGAAGATTTCAGCTGCATTCAATGCACTTAGAGAAAATAAAGGTGACTACTTTTGAGAGTTAAAGAAAACATCAGAAAAAAAAACAAATTTAATTCTTCAAAAAAAAAGGGAAAGGAAAAAGAAAAATACAAACTAGAAGCAAATATTTGTTACGTAAACACAAACGTAACGTAATAAACCATAACGTAACGTTATGAAATCAATGATTGACGACGGAAAGAACACTTTGAGTTTTCCCCTACTTTTCCTTGTGTGCCAATGGCTTTTCGCAAACTGCATTGTTTCGCAGCGGATGCAATAAAAAGAGTCAAGTTATTGATGCACAGCCAGGTGTGGTGTGCTGGGTTTTTCCCAGTTTTCCTAGTTTCCATCCCCCCTCCCCCTGCTCCTCCTCCTCCTCCCTACATTTGACAGCACCGCAGTGGTGGCTGCAACACTTTTCAACGTTGCACCACAACCAAAACTTTTCCGACCGGCACTTTTCACTTTTCTTGTATGCTATTCTTTGGCCATTCTTTTGGGTTCCGCTGTGCCGCAATGTTTGAGCTTTGAGTGCATAATAAATATGCAAACTTTGTGGTTACTTGAAAACATTTTTTGTGTTAGCGGTGGGGGGGGTTTTTTGGGTGGGTGATGCTAATCAATGGGCTCGAAAATCCAAGCAAACAACCGAAAAGGGAAAACTGCTGTGGCTGCCACTTGGCTTTTGCCCTCTCAGCTAGCTTAGTCACAAAGTGGGCAAAAGGGGACGAGGGGGCAGGACATCTACCACCCACTTGTGATGTTGCTTGCCATTTCTATTTCTATTTTCCAGCTTGCACTTCATCGTCAACGGGCCATCAATGGCAACGTGTCGCATTACTCAACATGGCTACGTGACTTAAATGCCATGGCGCCGTTGCCATTTTGCGGTGTCCTGCCACGCCCCCTCATCTCTCAGACAGCATCCTCTTCCCCACCATCTCTATACCCGCCTTTTGTCAGTTCTGCCCCCGCCAGTCAAGACATAAAACCCTCGCCACATTACGTAATGAATGAAAGAGCCGCTCGACAGCTTATGCAAACAACAACAAAAATAAGGAATATTATACTTAGGAATAGAGACAGTCGAGGGCAAGTAAATAGGTTTGGCTAATACAAAATGTTTGGTTAGTATTGGTTTTTATGAAATTTTATAAATGGTGGCCCACAAAAGATTTGCGTTTTAAAATGGCTAAAAAAATATCAATATTTTCGTAGACCGCAAACCTTCTGCTTAATATCTGACACATTGACAAGGACATTCGATATGTTAAAGTTAAAATTATCGATAGTTTAAAAAGCAAACGCTAAATGGGCCACTCTGTATAAGTATTTTGGCTGATTAAATATTTATTTTACAGCTTTCATTATAAGTTTTTAGCTTATAAATCTTAATTTTAATGGAGAATTTAGATTAAGTTATTAATCATTTTAAACTCCCTTTCCCCATTCGCATACCCCCCGCTGTACCTTTATCTACACAGATCTGGCGAGGGAATTGTAAAAAGATGGGCACGTGACGGTGGCAAAAGGTGCTCGCAAACAAAAGAGCAATGAAATAAAAACTAATTGTAATCAAACTCCAATTATGACGAGACTCCATGCGATGATATCGTGATGGGAATACGATATTTTCTTTAAATTGGATGAATAGAAAATGAAGTTGAAGTTGCTGAAGTGGAGGTAGAGGGAGAGTAACTTTGGTTTATTCACAGTTTCTATAAGGTTTTACGCATCACTTTTAAGTATTTCTTTTATAAATTCTAGAATTTCCATTATGATTTAACTTAGAAGGTAAATTCCAAAGACTTTTCCCTAAATTCCTTTCGTATTTCCGCTCATCTCTAAGCCCAACCCACTCCCATTTAGTCTGCCCAACAACTTTCACACAATTTTCATTGCATACTTTTCGGCTTGACACACGCAGCTGTTGCTCAAGTTTTGTGGAAAGCAGTCGGGGGAAGTGTGGCCAAGTAGTGAGTAGCCGGGTGGGGGGTTGGTTGGTTGGTAAAGCAGCATGACTATGAGACAGTTTGCTTGGTTTGCTCCTATAACTAATCTCGTTTATCACGATTGTCGTGTCACGCTCGCGTCATTTGACCCAAACACACAGACAACCTCTTGAGTTGTGTCTTCCACCACGTACAAGGATGCTTTTCCTCTGCCCCGTAATTTCCCGCTTTTCCGCCTTACCATGCTTTACTCTGCTAACCAAGTCTAGTGCGAATTGCAATCGTTGTGTTGACCATGTGTGACTTGGGCTAACGGCTTCGTGCCACGTTCATTGTCATTGTCAACATCTTGCGGCCAACGGCGACACGTAGCCTATTCTGCCCAGCCACCCAATTTGTCACCCTACCCTCTCTCTACCTTGCTTTTCTGACCATCCCAACACTAACCGCAATTTGCATTGGCCGCTGTCAAACGCAGCCAGGCGTCTGCCAATTTATGAATGGCCCAACAAGGCAACTCTTGACCCCTGAAAACCGTTTGCGGCCTTTTGCTATGTGCAATATTTTATACATTTTTTGTAAGCACAATAAAAATTGAATTAAATATAAATCAAAAACTCTCGCCGACCGCTGCAAACAATAACCGAAAGCAGCAGGTTTTCCCCCTCACTCTCTCTCTCCTCACTGGAAAATAAAGAAATCGACGGGATGTGAAATGAAATGGGCAAGGGAAGAGTTTTGGATGTGGAGGAGGAGGGAAAGCTATGGTTACTCTGGTTGGGAAACTAAAATAAACGTTTTTAGATATATGGAATTTATCAAAGGATAGGATGATGTGTGAACTATCTGCATTTTCTTGTTGTTCTTGATATGATTTTTCAGCCAACCTTTAATAAAAAGCCGTATTTAATCTTGTTTCTGTTCTTATTCTTGTTCAAATTGACCGCTTAATTAATTTCTGATTAAATCTTATGGTTAGTATTTATCATTATAGTTGTGCTACATCCCCTTATAACTCGAAAGCGATTATAATGTTAATTTTTAAAGGTAATATTTAAGTTTAAGACAAATGGGTCTTAGGCTAGGCTCAATGTTTTAAGATTTTCGTGTCTAAAAAGTCTAAGAAGGATTATTAGTTTAATATTTTTGTTTAAAGTATAGAATCAAAGAAACATTTAAACTCTGAAATTCTATTTGATTTTACATTTTGTTCATGCTATTGAGTGGAAAAGAATGACAGTTCACGGCTAGATCAGTGCATGTATTCCCCTAAAAAGATTCTTGTTTTGGTTTTACTTTTAATTTTTGTTAGCCTGTAAGTGTTTTCTTTGCTATTTTGCTATATTCTTTGCTATAAAATAAAATATTTATTCAGTAAATTCTTTAAATAACTCATCAAATATCTTTGTTTTTGAAAACTTTCAAGCTAAGAACATGGAACCCACTTTAGTAGTAGAACTGAAGTAAATGGAGAATTATGTTAAGTCTAAGATTCAAGCGCAGAAATACAGAGCAGACAGATCAAAATGCATAATAAGCGAATCAGCTCATGATGTGGGTAAACCATCAATATAATATGAATGTCAAAATAAAGGTACATAAACTTCTAATTTCTAAGCCTATCCTCGTAGCGATGACGGAATGCTAACCACGGCGGATCTTTGGTTATCCATACCCCTCAGCTTATGGAATAAATATAATAAAAACCCTCAAACAAGCACCTTAACATACTCTTACATTCAAATAATAAATCTAAATATAATAATAATATAATAAAATTGGCCACTTACCCTTGATTACCAGCTTGCCGTGGTCAACTCTTGACATAAAAGGTGATCCTCATTAATATCCAGCATTAAGTATCCTCAAAAATCCCAAATATGGATTTCCGAAAAAAAATCCATGATGCACTGCCTCCGCCTGGAGTCCAGGTACCATCAATATGACGAGGAGATCCATCATACCACTTGTAGGCACTTTACTAACACAATCACACACACACCATGAAGTGACTTGACTGATTTATGGATGGTCAACAGCGCCTAAGTCACCACTTTTCAGCTAGAAGAAGTTGGGAATTATTGTTACCCTAGAATGAAGAAAATTTTTAATTTTTACATTTTACATTGAAATTTACATTTGCATTACATTTGACATAGAAATTTACATTTTGATTACATTTGACATTAAAATTTACATTTTTACCTAGCTGCAGATTTTTAAATTTTCGCTGACTTAAAAAAAACGTTAAAATTCAAAATTAAATATACATTTTTCTTTACAAAAATTGCAAAAAATACTTACAATTTTTAAGGTTTTTTGGCAATGGAAAAGCTGATTTTCTTGGTTTATTTTGGCCATTAACTAAAGCCTTGGCCAGTCCTTCATAACCGCAAAATGAGATTGAGATTTCTCAATATTATTTTGATTATTAATTAATATTACTTTAGCAAAATATTGAGAAAAGTTCACCATTTTTGATGTTTTAAAAAGTTTAAAATATTTTAAAGAGTTTTCCCAAAAACTAAGGGACCTTTTCTATGCTAAAATTTCACTGGCTTGGGGAAGAGTAACTAGGAGTGCTTTTTTTTTTAGAGAAAATGCCACCATTAAATGGGGACCGTGGAAAGTTTTCAACTTTTCGTAACCGCAAAAATTGCCACATGGTTTTGCACACGGTTGTCTACCCCATTTGAGTGTCTGTGTGTGGTTGTGCGTGTGTGTTGAAACTGACCATGCTCACCACGCCCAGCGGCGACTGGGGCTGTACGCCTTCCGGTTCGGCGCGACTCTTCAAATTGGCCACAAAAACCAAAAAGTGCCAAAAACGTTTGCAGGCAACAACAACAATAGCAACAACATCAGCGAAATGCAACGAAATTGTTGCCACTCGTTGAACAACCGCCACGCCCCACTGACTCTGCACCGCCCACTTAACACACCCTTACTCCCCCTCTTTTTTTTTTTGTTTGTTGTTTGTTTATTGAACTCACTGGCGGCAGGCGACAAAAAACTACGAAAGCAATTGCTTTTTGTCTCTTTTTCAACCAACCTCTTCCCCCACCATCAGCTGCCACGCCCCCCATGTTGGATTGACCCCACTACAGAATAAATATCCCAAAGATATATATATATATCAGGATATATGTGTGTGTGTTTAAAGGTTTAAAACGTGATTTAATTTAATAACAAATGCTGGGCAAAAATATCGACTAGGACTTGACCTTTCCTTACTCGAAAAGATAAATCAAAAAGTTGATAAGAAATGAAAATATTTAAGGATATTTTTTGATATATTTAGCAATTTAAAAATGCCCTTAAATATGTATTATTTAACCTTAATTTTTCAAATATTAAATACAAGCTAATTAACTAATTTTGTAGATTTATTTTTAATCTCCATTCCAAGAAAATTTTAATCTAGTTCAGCTTTCCTTTCTCATTAAGTTTAATGCCTTTTAAAATTTTTTTAAAATTAATATAAATAAAACTAAACTTTAAGCACTCACCTATATAAAATTGATGTATGTGATGTGTTTCTTTTCTTTAAAAAAGTTATTTCCAGCAGTCTTTGCATTTTTCCCTTTGATGGGAGGTCAGGAATAATCGAATAATCGATATATCCGCATTCAGAACACTTTGGTTCCGACTTTAGTGCAGTTGTGTGTGTAAAGCCCAGCAGTGTGTGTGTGTGTGTGTGCATATGAGCTGGTGTGTGTGAACGCACTTTGCTCCGGCTGCACTGCAAATGCGTTTCAATGAGCAGCAGCAGGAACGGCAGCAGCCAACGCCATCGACCGGCCGTGTCCTGGCTGTGGATCCTGTACAAGGAGAAAAAAATACATCAAATGTTTTTATTATATATATATATTTTTTTTATTAAATTTAAAGGATATCCGGTGTTTAAAACAAATTTCTTAAACTATTTTGTGAATTTCATAAAAAGAAAAAAACTTTTTGGAGGATTTTCTTTTACATTTTTAAACAGAAGTTAAAAAATTGTTTTAAATTGCAAAAAAACAAACATAATTATTAAATAAAAAAGTTAAGTATTTATGCTATAAGTTTTAAATATTAATTAATACTTTTATATTTTAAACATCAATTTAATATTTAATGCCCAAAAAAGTAAGAGGAAATTTTTTCGTTGTTTTTTTAGATAAGCAAATCTTCAGAAATCACAAACTCATCTGTTAAATCTAAAAAATTCAAAATATACAAATTACAGCTTTTAAATCTCAATTTTCCTAATCTAAAAAACCTACAAAAACACCCATTTTTCCCTCAGTGCAAAACTGCAACTGAAAAAGGGTTTTTTCTATAGGGAAAAAACGAGAAGATGGGCCGGGAGTCTGCAGCCAAAGCTTTGTATAAAAGTCATATCCATTGCGTGTTTTTGTCGCGTTTTTTCAAGCGTGCTGTAATTTTTTTATGTCCCCTCTCGTCGAGCTCAGTGAATCTCCAGTACACCACGCGCCACCCCCTCCCTTCCCCCCATCAGTTTTACCCTTCCTTACCAAATAGCACACACCCCCCGCTGCCTATGTAGTGTGCGGCTAGACGCATAAATATTCTGATTTGGCAAAAATTATATGCCCGTACGTGTGCAGCGGGAAAACTCCGCGATTCACAGACCATAGCCTGGGCAAGGCCCTGGGGCAGGCTCAATAATGTTGCGAATTTTGGTAGGGCTTCTCTGGACTCTGTGGGACGACTTTGTAGGACGACTCGGCTGGACAACTCCAAGCTGGAGCTGCAGCCCGCTGCTTTATGACAGCGCATATTTTACAAATGGGCCAAAAGCCTGTTGCATAAATTTTAGCACAACAGGCAAGCAAGTAGTCGTCGGCGTTGGCCATAGTCCTTGAAAAAGTCCTCCGCCTTTAAGCCATCCTGTGGAGCATTCACGATGGGATTCATTTGCATGTTTCACTTCCAGGACTTTGCTCTGTCCCAACACCCTCTCCCCCCCCCTTCCCTTCATACAAATGGAAAATTTTTTGAAATGGGCTCTCCTCTCCCCCTCCGGAAAAAGCCGGAGAGTTTTCCGCGGTTCGTTGGGTGTCCGCGTTGTCGTCTTATCGCTGCCCTCATTGCTGCCTGTCGGCCTGACGTCTTTTCTATTTTTCGGGGGGGGTTAAGGTTTTGGGTGGGTTAAAAAAACGGGCGGTGGTGGTTGGTTGGGAAAAGTTGTTGTAGCAAAATTGGTGGGCATGGTGGCCTTTATCTTTAGCCAGGCCTGCCCCACAATGGGATGATATATGAGCCAGAGTTGGCGGGAATTTTCCTAGAAAAAAAAAACGAAAGAAAATGTTGGCAATTTAAATGCCCCAACCTAATATCGATTATTTTTTTTAGCGGGGTCTATCAATAAAAAAAACAGTTAAGTGACTGGGATTAATAGTTATGTTATAGGGAAATTTAAGAAGTTTTGATATTAGAAAAATATTCAAAGTGAAAGACAACACTGCGTATGAGTAATGGCTGAAAGGATTTTTCTACATTTAACTGATCATAATAGTTACCAATAAAAAAAGATAAATGTCTGAAGTTAATAGTTATGTTAAAGGGAAATTTATTAATTTTTGAAAAACTTTCAAAGTGATAGACAACACTGCGTATGAGTAATGACTGAAAGGATATTTCTTCATTTAACTCATCATAAAGGTTAAGAAAACGATGTTAGTTAGCACTTATTAAAGGTAAATTTAAGAATTTTTGATATAAGAAAAATATTCAAAGTGAAAGACAACACTGCGTATGAGTAATGTCTGAAAAGATGTTTCTTCTTTTAACTCATCATAAAGGTTAAGGAAACGATGTTAATTAGCACTTATTAAAGGGAAATTTAAGAATTTTTGAAAAATATTCAAAGTGAAAGACAACACTGCGTATGAGTAATGGCTGAAAGGATATTTCTTCTTTTAACTCATCATAATAGTTATCAATAAAAAAAAGTTAAGTGACTGGGATTAATAGTTATGTTAAAGGGAAATTTAAGAATTTTTGATATAAGAAAAATATTCAAAGTGAAAGACAACACTGCGTATGAGTAATGTCTGAAAAGATGTTTCTTCTTTTAACTCATCATAAAGGTTAAGGAAACGATGTTAATTAGCACTTATTAAAGGGAAATTTAAGAATTTTTGTAAAATATTCAATGTGAAAGACAACACTGCGTATGAGTAATGCCTGAAAGGATTTTTCTTCATTTAACTCTTCATAATATTTAAGCAAACTATATTAATTAGCACTTATTTCTTTGTTAAATTTATAAATTATACAGAATTGTTATTTATTTTTATATATTTTCTTCTTATTATTTTCCCATAATTTAATCTTTTAAGCCGTTAGTTAACTTTATAAACCTTAACTGCAAACTTGAATCAATATTTAGTTGCCTTTTGGTCTAGGGATTTTGCTTTTGCTTTCGCTTTTTTGGCCAACCCAAAATGTAAATGGTCCTAATCCTTAATATTTGATTGTCGCTAGTGCCGCGTCCCAGATTTTAGATTCCAAGTTGGTCTCGGAGACCGCCTTCTCCATTCCTCTCCACCTCCTTAGAAGGCGTCTCGTGCATTATTAATAATTTTTTAGATCTTCAAAGTTGCGCCAAAGATTTTCTATTTCGCTTGGTCCTTGGCCATTTTCTAACCCCCCTCGTTTTTGCTGTGATTTATTTGGCTCGATGATTTATGTCGGTCGAGCGAGTCGCCCTTCCTCTAACCCACACACCCCGCCCTTGATCTACTACATCCCCCTTTTTTTCCGCTGCTTTCTTTGTCTCTTTCTTGATGGGTCATCGCAGCAGCGAGGGACGCTTAATAACTTCTGGCTGTTGTTAAATATTTACAAGCCAAATGGGTTACTAGTGGTTATGGGTGTTAGTTTAGGCCGTCTTCTGCCTTGTTTTGGGCAGAATGTTATATCGCTTAAGTTCTTATTACTATAAAAATAATCCTAAATGAGAAATTATACTTTTATAGCCCATAAAATTAGTTTAATTTTAACTCCGAATTTTCCTACACTTAAACGCTTGTAATAACATTTAAGATTTTCGGAAGTAATCAAGTTTAAAAGAGCGATTCATATCGGTAAATCTGTAAAATGGTTTTGTTTATGTGCACTTTCTTGGGGATTTTTTTTAATGGGTTAAATAACCTTTTATAAGTAATCTCAATGCGATGCCGGGTCGTTGGCTCGCAACAAAAGAGACAACAAACATGGGCGGTGGGTTGGTTGGTGGTAGACAGCCACTTGCGCGCGTGTCAGCGTCAGTTACAAAGTCCCCGCCCTCTCTGCCACTCCTCCTTCTCACACACACACACAGAGCCCCTTCCTCTGACGACGCTTTAGTTGTGTCTGCGCTTCCGCCATTGTCGCGCTTATCAACAGCATAATTTGTCTTGGCGTGTGGCGCAGTCACTCCAAGGCGCACTGAGAGAAATTTTTAGAGAATTTTAGCTAGGATAAGGTTTTTGCAAAGCAGAAAAACAAAAAGGCAAAGGTTTTACTTCAGCTTCAGTGGCTTTAAAACCGCTTTATAGGGGGTTTGAGATGGCTGCTTAAAAGTTAATCATTTTTCACTGCATACTTCTAGGCAACTTTTAAAATTCTTGAAAATGTATTTTTTATTTTGATTAGCCTTTGATCTTATCTTTTAAAATCAGTAAAATTTAAGAAATATACATAGAAAAAGCTTTTATTTTTTACTTTTCCACATCTAGTTAGTCCCTCTAAACCAACTTAATTTAAAAACAAATGAAAATTTCTAAAAGTTTTCTTCAAGTGCCTCCCAAAACTCATCTCTCCTTTCCACTGCACTGTCTCCGTCGCACTCTATGTTGTGTCATCTCTTTCGTTTCTACTCGTCTTATGCCAAATTGTTGTTTTTCTCACGCTTCCCCGGGTTTTCCCTTGTTGTCCTTCTGGAATTCTCACAGCCAAACTAGAGTTTTCCCCATACGCTCCAAGCGGTAGCGATGTCATGTCTATGGCGTTCTTCTCCGTCTCCAGGCTTTTTGGCCATGAATTTGAGACAATCCCCCCCCCCTCCTTACTCCTTAACCCCATGGTTGTACTTCCGACGCCCCATGTGTCTCCCACATTACATACGCAAATTGGCAGCTTGCTGGTTTTTGTTAGTTTCAGTTGGCCAAAGCAATTGCGACTTCTTTGCCGACACTTTTGATGGGTTTATGTGGGATGTACCACGGGCACTGTGGCAAACTTGTGCACACTCACACACAGCCATAGATAGATCCTTAGGACTAGGAGTAGGACAAGGACTACAAGGAGGCAAGTGGATCCCAGTTATAAGCATAATCTAAACAAATTGATCGAGTTGTCGCGAGTCAAGCGAGGAGACAAGGAAAACTTGTTAGGAAACTGAACTTTGTGTTTGCTGGGAGGTTAACGAGAGGGGGAAAAAAAGGGTTGACTGTGTTTCGTTTTGGTTTTGTTGAGGAAAAGGTCTATTAGTAGTACTTTTTTTAAAACTTAGTGTTGTAAAATCCTTAGTTATAAGTGTTGGTTAATGCCATTAATGTTGCCTACTGCTCTATCTTAGAAATGCTTCTCTTTTTATGCCCATTAATAGGAGATTTGCAACCACTTAGCCTTATTGAAGGCCGCCTTTGATTAGTCATAGTTTCCATCTCTTTCTACATATATCTCCCTCTTTCTTTCTTAACCATTATTGCCTTCTCTTTCACTCCACTTATTGAGTTGACTTTGTTGTTTGCTTGCTTAAGCAATGAGTGCCTTGGCTTCCATATATCTCTGTTGATATCTTCTATCTCTGCCACGTAGCTTCCAGTAC